CTAGCAGCACCTTCTGTACTTCTTTCCTTCTTGAACAACTTATTAGAAGGAAAGCAAGTGTCTGGCAACACCTTCTGTTTTTCTTTCCTTCTTGAACTATTGATTAGAAGGAAAGCAAGTGTTTGACAGCACCTTTTGTACTTTTTGTTGTTCAAGAAGGAAAGTATTAGAAGGAAAGCAAGTGTCTGGCAACACCTTTTGTTTTTCTTTCCTTCTTGAACAACTTATTAGAAGGAAAACAACTGTCTAGCAGCACCTTTTGTACTTCTTTCCTTCTGTACTGATTAATTAATGAGGCCACAGGTTAATCAATTAGCAAATACCACTAATTGTCTAGCTCTAATGCTGTGCCATAAGTGAATATAAAATTATCACTTATTTACAAGTGTACTACATCAGTAATGTTTCATTAAACAGTCTATTCTTAGGCTTTGGAATTACCAATCTGTGATAATGACACATTATGACTGAAAAATTATCAACATATAACAAGTCTTATATTTAGTCTCTTTAAAGTTTTATCAAGTCATTTTTTCACAGACGTACATAAAATGGAAAAATTCTAAGATACAGTAGTACACTCTTAAGTGTTTCAAGTAACAAAGCTAAAAAAATACTATCTCTCTAAAACAGACAATCTTTCAGTAAGTACAAGGAAGTACTACAACATCAACAATGACAATATTACTTTCAAATAAATACATAGAATAAAGCAATTAAAGTATAAATAGAACTTGTGACTATTTCAATGTCAACCATTCTTTCAGATAACGTTATCTGATGTTCTGTCATGTGATTCGAAACACAGATGATTGGTTATTTATTGTTGATGGCTCCACTGTAAGTCAGCTGTTTCGTGCCTTGCTAACGAGCATCATGTTAAGTATCGACCATACAGAATGACCTTGAGAAGTCTGTTTCTGTGAACATCTGATTACATCTTAAACCTGGTATTTCATGGTTGAATCAACACATAGAGGTTGAATGTTTGTGTTACAGATTAGTGTTATGTTTGTTTACACTGCCTAAAATAACCAAAAGCTAATCAGAATGTATAATATACCTGTGAAATGTCAGCCAGCCTCCTCATTTCATTATTATATGCAAATTGGATATAAATTTTGTGATGTTGAATACAGATGATTGAACGTTCAACTTACACTATATATAGTTATCTTAATTACTATTGTCACTTAGTCAGAAGTGAAACCTAAAGTTCAAAATGCTCTAAATCATATATAAGTCATGGTTGAAGACCAAAGAAAACACATAGATGTTTTACTCACTTGAGAATTCATTAGACAAGTGAAAGCTGGATAATTACAGCTGTCTGTTGTTTCACTTTCAAATTAATGATAAAGATACTTAGATCTCTGCACAATACAAACTGTCAAATGTAATTCTTATCATTCCTGTTTAACAAATAACATTATTATTACATTCCAGTAAATATAACTTTTGTCATTCAGGCTAATAATCTCTTTTTTTCTATCTTACCTTCCAATAATAATAGGGAAACATTGTTGGGCTGTTCTTGCTTCAATGGCACTTAGAGCAGTTTCCAAGTCTTGACAATGTTGATGACACTAATGTTACATATAAAAGTTAAATAGAGCGAGCCTTATGTATAGTATTTTTATACTGCAGTACAAGTCAAAGATTGTTAAGATTATCTGATGGTCTTTTACTTCTCTTAACAGAAAATTATTATATTTCTCCAACAAACAAATGTCATAAATCATCATAATAAAGCAGCCTTGTGACTCTATAAAACATAATTTACTTTTTATTAACACACAAACAAAGCCTACTTCTGCAAAGTGTTTCCAAAGTGTCTGTATGGAAGATGGAAGAGAGTCCAGTTCCTCTTCACATTTTAAACTGTAAGCCTTTCCTGTACTATCTATAATTTTTGTTGAAGCTCCTGAAAATGTTATTTTCCCACCTGTAAAATGAAATATAAAGACAGGCAAAACATAACACATTTTAACCTAAAATTTCTAAAACACATATCAAAGCTAGATAAAGTTTCAAAACAAGCTTATTATAGAGAGAATCTAAGATGTTTATCATATTTTTGGCCTTACTTAAAAAAAAAGAACCTTTTCTGATCTTATTACTTAAAAACTAAACAAATATGAAGTTATATAATGACATTAAGTCCAATTATATACATGTACTTAAGAAATGGGTGCTACAAAGAAAATGTTAGACCCTATAACATGACAGTTTGAAACCAGTGCTGCAGTGATTACCTTTCACTCCATTAACTTTAACTACCTAATATGTACCAGAAACCAAAGTCACTACTGACTGAAATTTAATTAACAAGCATGTCAGTGCAGGAGGTACTTTTTTAATTATTATAAACACTTTCAGGATACACGAGATAACTTTGTCATGTGTATTAACACTTTCAGGATACACGAGATAACTTTGTCATGTGTATTAACACTTTCAGGATACACGAGATAACTTTGTCATGTGTATTAACACTTTCAGGATACAGGAGATAACTTTGTCATGTGTATTAACACTTTCAGGATACACGAGATAACTTTGTCATGTGTATTAACACTTTCAGGATACAGGAGATAACTTTGTCATGTGTATCAACACTTTCAGGATACAGGAGATAACTTTGTCATGTGTATCAACACTTTCAGGATACAGGAGATAACTTTAAAATGTATCAACACTTTCAAAATACAGGAGATAACTGTCATGTGTATTAACATTTACATTATACAAAAAATTCATCACATTTTTTCTGCTTATTCAATTTCCAATATAGTTAGTATATCTGCAACACATCAAAGATCCACCATCAAGGTCAGTAATGACACAGAATAAATATGTTATTCTTATGGACTTACCATTATAAAAGCTGGCCTCAAAATCAGGTACTGGTGAGTTTTCCATCAACATACACTTAGCTTGAGAACTGTAGAAAGTTATCTTTGGAGTTTTTGCTCGAACAAGTTTTACAAATCTAGCAGCATAAATGTATTTCTTATAATGTTTCTGTGGAAGACTTTCATAACTGAAGATGCTGTCTGCACCACTTTGGGGAATAACAGCAGGAGAATTACTTAAAGGACAACCTCTTGCACCATTAGGCTTGTAAATAATAACCTGCATAGAAAAATAAAACAAGGTTTTCTAATATCTGGTATTTACTAGATGATCCTACTAGATCTACCCTACTATAGCTGACTTGTGTGGGTTCACTAGCTGACCTAAAGATCTACCCTACTATAGTTGGTTTGTGTGGGTTTAATAGATGACCTAAAGATCTACCCTACTATAGTTGGTTTGTGTGGGTTCACTAGTTGACCTAAAGATCTACCCTACTATAGTTGGTTTGTGTGGGTTCACTAGCTAACCTAAAGATCTACCCCACAAAAGTTGGTTTGTGTGGGTTCATTAGCTGACCTAAAGATTTACCCTACTATAATTGGTTTGTGTGTGTTTACTAGATGACCTAAAGATCTACCCCCCACACAAACCAACTATAGTAGGGAAGATATTTAGGTCATCTAGTAAACCCACACAAACCAACTATAGTATTTACTAGATGGCCTAAAGATCTACCCTACTATAGTTGGTTTGTGTGGGTTCACTAGTTGACCTAAATATCTTCCCTACTATAGTTGGTTTGTGTGGGTTCACTAGTTGACCTAAATATCTTCCCTACTATAGTTGGTTTGTGTGGGTTCACTAAAGATCTAAAAACTAGTATCAATTTTTGTTTTCATAATTATCTATGTATATTATTTTTGTGTTCAGCTTATTATTAACATACAAATTTTAAAGATTATGCTTCCACAACTTTCAATACACTTTTATCAAACACTGTTTTGATACGTACTCTCATTCCGTCCGGAGAAATCCTACAGACATCAATCACCTTTTCTTCTTGATTTTTACTACGGAGAAATTCTACACAAACTTCTCCATTTTCCAATATATGGACCTAAGAATATACAGCAAAACAAAAAACTACAATCATGAAAACATAAAATTATTACTAAAGCATCTGATTTTTACATCTCCAAAAACACCCAAAGTAATAATTGAAAAAAAAAGATGACCATTAAATTTTTGCTAAAAATAAATACAAGATAAATTAATCAAGATTTTTACAAGTAAGTGATATCAGTAAAACTTTCCAATGTAAACAGCTGTTGGAACATTCCACTGCATGTTTTATTTATAATATTAAAATGATTAAAGTAGTTAGTAGTCATATGTTGTGAACTAGATTATAACTGCAAAACATGATTTCTGCAATTAGGTTATAACTGTAAGGCTTTCTAACATAAAGAACTATCAGTACGTACCACTGCATTCTTTGTTCGTTGCCGAGTGGACCTCAAACGTTTTGTATTTAAAGGTGAGCTTAGATTATTCTGTCCTTCTGAATGTTTTCCACACTTTGGAGGGGTGCTGGGTGTGGAAGTGGCATCATGACTACAGGTTTCTGTGTGACAACTTTCCTTAGAAACTTTAGACCTGTTTTTACACAAAGAAGTAACTGGATGATTGTGATTACTAGTTCGACAACCACAAGTTTCCAAGTGAGAACAACAGTTGTCTATTCCTCCACACTGCCAGTGGTGACTACAAGTTGAATATTTAACTTGTTCAAACCTTCTGACTTCTTGACCATTAAGTTCACTCTGAAGAGGCTGGTCACATGATGACCCATGACTACAAAATAAAAATTAATCTTTGAAAACAAAGAACTACAAGAATCAAAAATGAAGTAGAAAACAAAACAGACATTGATTACAAGGGTAAAGAGTTACTATCAACTAAAACAACTTTACACATAAAGAATTTAAAAAATTATACTTATTACAAATCATTAAAATTAGGGGCATTAATTCTCTCTACACAGGCTCAGTCGAAGTGACTGACCATGTACTTGTTATAGTATTGGTACTATTGATTTTTAATATAGTATGCGTGTCTACATAAATTCTGGCAGACTTTCAGCCAACATTACAACTCTTACAAACAAGAAAAAAGATTTTCTAGTGAGGTATTTTTAATAAAGATTTGTCCATAAATATATTGAATCTTTTTTTTTTCAATAGTCCGTGTGCAATGTGATTTTCTTGTTAAGATTAAAAGTACTTTTCCTCATCTCAAAAATCACAAATTTTATTTGCATAATCTTAAAAATATCCTAAATGCATTTCAAACGTTTTTTTTCACTAAAACTTTATATTCTGTTATTTTAGCTACCCTAACTCTATACAAGGTTGGTCTATTTGACCGACCTCGTAACCACCAAAAAAACAAACAAACTAAATTACCCTTTTTTTTTCTAGAATGACTTCAAATTGTAACATGAAACTACATTTGTTTATCTTAAGTAGCTTTAAACTTGTAACAGTATACAACTATTTATACTTAAATTTTATTGCCCTTTGAACTGTGTCTAACTACTATTCACACCACTAAGTTGTAAATGACTTGGGGAGCATACAGGTCATGTTATGCTATCAAATTACATTACCTACGAACTACTCTGAGCTGCACGAGTGTGTGCAAAATTATTATATGATTATTATTTATTTTACCTAATCTAACCTTAACTAACTTATAGTTTTCTATTTTTACATTTGAGTTACTTTTATAATAATTGATAAAGAATACACATGAAAAACAAGAAATAAAGTACTTACCTGGGCCGTAACCCTACTTTTTTTTATATACTAATGGTAGTAGTGCACTAAATAATTCTTATTTACTTAAATAATGCACCAAAGAAAATAGAATAACATGCAAAAAGCAGACAATGTCCTACAAATATCAAAATTTTTCTGGTTTTCTAACTATGTGACGAGCCGTTATAAATTCATCCAAGCTAGTCGATATATGTTTCCTGTGGGAACAAAGCTTGTACTGAAAGAGAATTTGACAATTCTCTGTACAGAAAACAACATAATATAATATGTCATTTGATAGATGAAAACCTTGGCTTTCTATTGGTTACATATAACATAGAATTAAATCCAATAGAGAACTATTAACAAATCCTGAAAGAGAGAATATGACAAGTGGGTGTGGCAAGAGGGATCTTATTTGATGGCTCTGTAACCAAACAAGATTGAAGGCTATGAAAATTATGCTTTATCTGAGTAATGATGATATTGTAGTGAATACTTTATGTTAAATTTTGTACTTATTGGAGGGATGGTGAATAAATTAAAGAAGAGGGGATGCCTAGAGAAAAAAATGTTATATTTCTAAGACTAGGGGGAAAGATTTTTTGTAATATCTTTATAAAATTAAAAACTTATACATTATTGAAATATGAATTATTAGCTACAACTTTATGCTACACTAATGAAATTTGTATAACATAAACAAAAAGTAGTTTAATTAAATTTTCAATGTAACTCATTAAAAACCTTGTGACATGCACAGTAAAGGATGTCTATGGCTTGAGGGTTAACTTCCAGATCTTGGATAAAAACACTAACATTTCGTGTATATATTTTTTTCAAACATTAAGACAATTAAAATATTTTATAAGGTTTCATGTGGTCAATTTGGGTCATTCAAGTCGCATTTCTAAATATTGTGAATTTTTAAATATTTGTGTACACAAAATTAACTTTATATCTAAATGTGCATACCTATAGTCTGGCTTAACCTTTAGATTCAACCTTAAAAACGTTTTATACACATCATATAACTCTTTCATGCCAGGATGAGCATATCTTTTTTCAAAGGCAAAATTACACCATTAAGCTTTAAAAAATTAAAGAAAATATGTTTGTAGTTGCTCTTTCATATATTTAAAAAATTCAAAGTTGAAATTTATTCAATATAGTGTTATTTATTTTACAGCCAGAAAAGATCAAAAATTTTAACTTTCGGTTGATTTCAGCACATCTTGGATGAAATTAGTGATTATAAATCTCACCAATTTTTTTACAAGCTTAAAATGGCACTTTCAGCTTCCCGGGAGGAAATACATAATAGCTTTGAACAAATTAATTAAATTAACATATCCTAACTTCCAACAGAACAACACCTGAAGGTAAAAATCAAGGTGTGTTTGTGTGTATGTATATATATATTATACCATTCTAATCCTGTGTGGAAAGTTATATAGGTGAAACCAAGGTCACTCTAAGCTAAACAGTTTCCAGACCGTCTTTGTCTTAAGGGAATTTGAAGTTCTGTGATCAAGCATAAGTTGTTGACCAGTTTCCTGTCAGAAGACATGCACGAATGTGTCAAAACTACTTTCTCTAATATAAATTTTTTGACATTTACTGTGTTTTTTCACTAACCATGCTATCATTTGAATTAAGCGACATACAAAAACTACCACAAATTAGTTTACAGTATAACAACAACAAAAAAAATCCCAGAAGAACATACCAAGATGCAGAATGACATGACGTGTTGTTGTTATAATTCTGATGGAAATGTTTTTGGTTGCTACACTGAACAGTTGTTTCACTGCAAAAACCATCCCAATGACAGTGGCTACAAGTGGACCTGCCACACTGAGAATGTTGAGCTTCATTTAATTCAGTCTTCTGGCCCCAGTGATCATGAGGGTTACAACTATGACTAGGACCCCCTTTTTCTTCACTTTTATATACAAGTTTGGTTTTTCTGTGAGAAAAGATGTACATATATTAATGATGATAAACCTGTGATACACTAACACTCATGGAATGGCATTGCATAAATACCAATTGAACTTTTTAACTTATTAACACACTTTTATACCATGAAGGGTTCAAATTGAAACAAGATAAAATCATTATCCAAACAACAATGACTTGCTTAACAGTATTAAAACTTGAAGTTAAAATTCCAATGGTAATAATTATTATAAACTATGTTACACATTGCCACTGCCCAACCCTTTTGTTTGATAGGCCTTTTTTCCTCTTTTTTTTGAAGTACTATTCATAGTTTCTATGAGGCTAACATGTAGAAAATCAAAACTCAGCTACATAAGGGAAATATCTGAATACAGTTAAACTAATACAAATTTTAATGCATAACTGTTTAATACGTGTAACCGTAAATGAGTGGGGATGGTCCAGAATGAATGTATATCTTCATAGAATTTGGTAAGCTTTCAGTAAACGAGTATGTTGTACACAAAACATTTTTAATCAGATATTTCTATTAAAGATTTGTCTGTGAAATTACTGATTCAGACTCTAACTAGTCTAAGTGCAAGGTGATTTTCATTTTATGAATAAAAATACTGAAAAGAAACTGAGGCCAAATTTTTCAAGTCCTATTTATTGAATGATTTTAGAAATTAAGTAAATTAAAATCTTCTTTTATACCTCAGTAAAGCAATAAGTTTAAAAGGCTAAAAATTTACTTTTTGGCTTGGGAATATTTACAGTTTAAGTATGAAATATGTGAGAAACTTATAAGATCACATACAGGTAGGAAAAAACTTACTAATTTAAAAAGTTATAGCATGAAAACTATAACAAGCACAAGATGGTTACGAGGTCAGTCCTAGGGACCAAGCTGTGCTAAAAGAGTTATTACAACAGATATAGCTTGTCTGTCAAAATTTTATTTGAGCCCTGCCAGATTTTTGATTTTTATGTTTAAAGACTACATGTATCAAACAGCAGAAACAGAAAAAAAAAGGTTAATAGTGTTTTTTGCTGATTTTGATAATTTTCAATTTTACGCAATATGTAAATTAGCAACCAACATCACACATTTGTATAATTTTCATGAAAAAAACAACAAACAAAACAAACTCTCCAGCACTGAGGACACTTATGAACAGAGTATAAGATTAAAATTCATTTTTCAAGCAATCTGTTTTTTTTCCACATCTATATCTACATATATGTTCAACGGAATTTTTGGACATTTTTCATATACACATGATGCTATACCAAATAACACCAGGGGCAGAATAATACAACACTGATGTGTGATCACAATAATCCATTGGCAATTATTATTTACATTATACTTACTTTTGCAATTCCAATTAAAAAACTTGAAGGATGGTACCTATAATTTAAAACTTTATAAAAAAACAAAACAAAATAAATGTTTGGTATGTGATTACTTACCATTTGCACCCCACCCCAAAGGTATTTCCATTTTTTAGAAAAGAAAAAGCATCATGCAGCCTTCAGATTTTTTTATGGGGTTTTGTCATTGCATTTAACAGCAAACCAGTGAGTTGAAGTTTATGTAAACATTCAATCAATGTAATGTTACCTTCAATGAATAGTTCATACTAAATACTTTAATTATTCCAACTTTAGGCCATTTTTTCGTTTGATTTTAGCATCATTCAAAGAAACATGGCGACTGGACAGTAAACGTTTCAGTTTTTAAAGTTGAAGAAATTTTTTGACCCGAGTCAGTTGTGCACATGCAAATAAACTTTTTTTTTATTTTGAAAGTAAAACTACTAAACCTGGACAGTTTCATATTACAAATTATAAGAACCATTCTTACCTATGTTTGTAAGTAGCTAACTTTTAACACCTAACATTTTTCCTTACAGTAGTATAAACAGATCAATATTTGTAAAGATAAAGTAAAAACTAGAATGTTTGAGTTTCCTTTCTGCACAGTGTGGATTATCTAATAGTTTTGAATTCTAAACAGACTAATACTTATTGATTGTATTGTGATTTATAATAAGTACCTGACCATCAAAGTTACTTTTCCAGCTAACACTTTCTATCTTATTGCTCTGGTCAGCTGTTCAAACAACTAAAGTCAGTCATGTCAGCAGAATGAGTGAATTGACTTTTTACACTAACACTTCTCAGACAAATGTAAGACTAACGGTGTAAAAAAACTTACTCTTCTCCATATAGCTTGTTTCTCAACTCTCCAGTGAATACTGCACGAGCCAGTTGAGATGCCACCTGTTTCTCTCCGCCCCTCTCTTGTCGACGTCGCTCTTCCGAAGCATCCCTTTCTCTCCGAGGTGGACCACCATAGTGCTGTGATACTCTAACTGTCTCATGATGATATGGATCTATTTATCACTTCTCACTCCAACTGATGGTAAGGTGGTGATCTTCATCTTTAGTTGATCAAATGATCCACTCATCTGAGAACAAGGAAATCTGTCTCCATGTCTACATATGGATATATAGTTATTGGTTTCTTTATTTCAATACATGCCATTCAACTGTACATATTCATGCTTTATATTAATATCTGTATTACAAAAAAACTCAAAACAAAAATAATTTTCTCCATCTTGAAACACACAGTCAAATCTGTTAAAATGGTGCTTGTCAATAAAAACAAGTTCTTGTGCAAAATTATTTTAAAACATATTGACTTTAAATCACTAAAAAGAATGGATCTCATAATTAGTTTGGACATAAACAATGGGTTTTAATTTTTACAATTTCATTTAAATACTACTACTACTATACTGTTAACTCACCCAGCTCTGAGTCTAACAGGAGGAGTTGAAGACTGTGTTTCCCTAGCAGCTGCATTATGCCTGTGAATTACGTTTCCTGAGTAGTTGTTTCTCAAAGATGAAGTGTTACTAGTATTTACACATCCTGATGACTGCTGGGACTCCAGTTCTGTAATAGGAAATGCTATCAAAGGCTTGGAATAGCCCCGACGGGTGGAGTTTGTACTTCTGGAAGACGATACTGTTGTCATTGTTCCCATACCACTATCCATGGAATTCTGGGTTAATAACTAGAAGATAAAAATAATGTAATAAAACTGTTGCTTCAATATATAAACTAATAGGTATTAACTTTCCATATGAGCCCTGTCGATATGATCGACCTTGTAACTACAAAGTAACAATCAGAGTTTTCATGCTATAACTTCTAATATGTTTTGTATATCTTCAACCTCGTAACCACCATAAAAAAATATTAAATAAATCTAAATCCCCCCCCTTTTCTATCTAAAATGACTGCACAATGTAATAGGAAAGTAAAACTGTTTATCAAAATGGTTTAAAGCTTGCAACAGTAGACATCTGTTTATACTTAATTTATTATCTTATTGCCCTTTGAACCATGTCTAATAACCCCACCACACAAACTGTAAATCACTCAAGGAACGTGTAGCTCATGTTACCATACTGAATGATGTATCACACGACCCTGTGAAGAATTTTTATATTATAACAAGTTTCTATTTTCTTTATCTTAGTTACTTTTATAATAATAAATAAAGAATATACATGAAAAGCAAGAAATGTAGTACTTACTTTTTTTTTGTCCTATAACTAAAAATTTAATTGGATTTCTAACTATGGCATAAGTCTTTAAATATTTCTCTAAGCTGAACACTTTGAGAAAAACTTTAAAACTGAAGATGAAATAGATAATGTTCTCTCTACAGAACACAATGTAATATGTCATTTGATAGATTAAAACTATGACTTTCTATTGGCAATTAGTAAAAGAGAAGATGTGAGAGGTGGGTCTGATTTTCTAGTTTATAACTCCACAGACAAACAAGATTGAAGGCTGAAAAAACAGACTTTGCCTTAGTAATATTTATATTATAATGATTAATTTACATTAAATTCAGTACTTCACAGAAGGGTGGTAAATAAATTAGACAAAAGGGAAGACCTATAGAACAACTGTCAAAATTCTCATATTCGGAGAAATTGAGGATTTTTTAAAAATATTTTCTTATTAAATTAAGAAGTTAAAACTTATATAATTAAAAGTTGATTTATTAACTATGTTTTGATGCCAAGTTTATTAGCATACACTGATAATAAAGCAATTTAATTATGTTTTAAATGTAATCCAAAGCGAGAGGGTTAATGCATATAAATGAACAATTGTCAAACAATTCTTAACCTTATTAAAGACCTAGACCTTCTTTAAACATTGATATAACCTAGCTTCCTGTAACTCAAGTGAGTATTCTGAAAAAAAAAAACACTTCTCTGAAAAAAACCTCTTTAAAATTAAGATTAAACAGTTAAATCTTTGTCCTTACCTTGTCAGAACAGCCAATGTATTTGGTCACGAAAGGATGACTGAGAACATCTACAAAATTAAAACACTTTTGTTATACATGTTTTAAGCTTACTCTTTGTGCTAGTTATACAAAAAAGATTAAAAACTTCTGTTATATATGTTGCCAACTCAACTTGTCTAATCATTAACTACTAAAACAGTCTGTAGATCAGAAGATATGAATACTAGCACATAATGCACTATTATAAGGTTGAGTAAAATAAGGTAAAAGCAGTAATTATTTATTCTGTGAAACTAAATAATAACCTTGTATTTAAAATAACATATTAATGCTCCCAACAGCCGATAATCTAGCTACAAAACAGACAGGCAGGCAGTTACTAAGATGTTTACCATCATCAACAATATTATAAAAAAAATTGTGTATTGAAAGTAGTGAGAGTAAATATTAACAGTAAATTTTTCTAGATCAAACTAAATCTTTATTAACATTTTATTTAATTTAGCCCATAGTGTTAAGAAAAATCAAATAATCAGTAGGCAACAAATACGTATGGATAATTACCATTAAGTTTTAAACGTTCTTTAGGATTCTTCTTCAGCAAAGAATCAATTAAACTGCATGCTTCTACTGAGAGGTGTTCTGGAAGTTCATAGTCAGACATGACCACTCGAGTTAAAGTACTTCGAACAGCTTCGGTATCAAAAGGAGGTTTACCAACCAGAAATGTGTATAACATACAGCCCAAACTCCAAACGTCAGCTTCTAACCCGTGGGAACTATGTGTGGCTATTTCTCTGATAATTGTAGAAAGAAAACATTTAATTCGGCTAAAGCCTTTTGTTTCAAGACAAAGAACTTGGAACCACATTTTTCATGGACCTTTTGATGTTTAAAATCAAAAGGGCAAAGTAAGTCAGGCAAGATAAAAAAAAAAAACACTATCTATAAGCAGATATTTTTACATATACTCAATCATGTTGAATATTAATACACATTATAATGGTTTGTACTAAATCATTAAATAAAAATCACAGTTAAGGTGTAATGTTTTCACTGGAGATATACCTTAGTTTACTTACAGTTGGATATTGAAAAGCTAGCACAGTTAAGGTGTAATGTTTTCACTGAAGATATACCGTAGTTTACTTACAGTTGGATATTGAAAAGCCAGCACAGTTAAGGTGTAATGTTCTCACTGGAGATATATCATAGTTCACTTACAGTTGGATATTGAAAAGCCAGCACAGTTAAGGTGTAATGTTCTCACTGGAGATATATCGTAGTTTACTTACAGTTGGATATTGAAAAGCTAGCACAGTTAAGGTGTAATGTTTTCACTGGAAATATACCTTAGTTTACTTACAGTTGGATGTTGAAAAGCTAGCACAGTTAAGTTGTAATGTTTTCACTGGGGATATACCGTAGTTTACTTACAGTTGATGGTATATAGTCACTGTTTAGACTAGATTAAAATGAATATTTTTGGCACTTACGAAAATTCTAACTTTTCGATATTCAACTGTAAGAAAACTAAGGTCAGTCAATATTCATTGTTTAAACAACAATTAACAGACAATAAACTGTGTATATTCATAAGAAAGCTACTTAATGTTAACATTTTCCTAATCTGAAAATTTATTTCCAAACTTTTCCCCAATATTGTGTACCCACTATAATGGTAAAATATCAAAATACTTATTTGTGTGATTATTTATATTACTTAATATAAATTTTTGACTGAGTGTATGTTGAATAACAACAAACGTTTTCAAGAAAAATATCAAAGACCCTCAAACAAAGCAAACTCTTGTGTGAGTTTCTTGTAAGCACCAAAAATACACAACTAGCATGTTTGACAATTTTCAACAACATGTCAAAACACTGGACAGTCTTATATTTAAGATGCTAGCCCTTTCTGAACGTAATTCTGAAGTCCCTAACTTAGTCAGGAATGTACAACAATTTCATGTAATATAACATAGCACTATACAATGAATGATCATTAAAGAAGGGCCAAAAAGTGATTTCACTCTCTCTTCCATATCCACACATGACTAAATCAACACTCTTCTTTACTTCACTCAGAAGTTCTTATTAATAATTACTAACACAGTCTTCTCCCAGTGATGTTGGGGTCGGGTGACCCACTCTGGGATCAAGAAGATTGATTAGCTTGTTGGTTCACCAGTTTTCCTAATAATGAGCAGGTTAATTGAAGAAAATAATAACTAATAACACATGTTGTTAAAAAATCCTTATCCTAAACCTGATTTGTAAAGGCTTCAATAAAACTGAAAATATTACATTTTTACAAGCTTTATTCAGTTAACACTGAAAGAATTTTTGGCAAGCAATTTCATAATATAAATAAAGTCTCAACCAGTTGAAGAATCCTGGTATTGGATGAGAGCCAGTAGATATAGTGTGGTTACGATATATATTATTCACCCTTCTTTACTTTCACTCTGAAGATCTTATTAATAATGAAACTAATAAAATAATTATATGCTTAGAGAAATACATATATCACCCCCTTATATTCAGCCAGTACATTAATTAGGAAAATACCATGATGACAGTACACTTATTATTATAATTTGATAAAAAGGAGGGCAGTCAAACCTAGTTTGGAATAAAACATGGTTGAGAATTAAAAATATAATTAAACGTTTTAACAGTAGCAGAGATATGATATGAAATCTTCCTCATCTAATCCACACACAGCTCTTCTAATGGTTAATGTAGTACATAAGTTTTTTTAGCATGTTCATAAAAGTATTATTATGAAGTTAGTATAC